ATTTTTGCATCAATCTGTATATTTTCCCTCCTTTTGTGTATTAAGTTGTTTATTATGAAAACTGGGCGTGTCGAATTTTCAAGAGTGAGTGTTATTTTGTCAGTGCTCAGAAATACATATTCTATCATTTTCAGGTCAACCGTCTTGCACTTATTGATTGATCCATTGTTGTTATGTTTGATTTTCTGCCAAATTTCATTGCAAGTCAAAACTCGAAAACGGAATTTTTCAGTTTCCAGGTACTATCTCATTTTTTCCCTAAATCTAACTTTATTGAAGAACATCGGTCCGTACGGAACAGTTGCGAAGCTATTTGGATGTGCCATTGAAGCATTCCTAGTTTTTCGAACGATGCGAAAAGGAAACGAATCGAGACTTTCGGAGAATAGCAGATCATCTAGTCGGCACTTGAAACAGAAGAACATAACCAAAGTTTGAGATAATTGATATAATAGATGTAATTTTTTGCTACCAATAAATATTATTCTTTTTTTCGTTTTTTTTTCAAGAATTGAAAATCATAGAAGCATTCAAAAGGATATCCACACAGTAGGATCAGATATGCAGCATCTATTTCAAAAATGTATCTTGAAAGCACAAAATCAATTTCTCCGACTAATACCACATCTTCTTTAAGCTCATTATTTCACATATTTCTGCTTGGATGGCTCAGGAAAACAAAACCACAAACGTATTTCCTTTATTTAATAGAATTTCAATATCTATAGTGTTTTTCTAACAAGATGTGTTATCTAGTCTGAACGATATTTTGATTATTTTCTACGAAATCAAGTCTGACTCTTACATTTTTACTAGAAATGGCACAACAATCCGAGCACATTAAAATGAACACATCGGCGGTGGTAATTTCAGTATTGGGATGTGTATCCGGTCTTGTAACTTGTTTATGAATATTATTCTTCTGCAAACTTATGTGAAGTAAGTCATTTGGAATCAAGAGCTCGGTAAAAATATATGTTTTCTAGAAGTCTTCTATGACCTTTCATTTCAGAAAGAAAAACGATATGACTCTATTCTACTATCGATTCACAATAGATGTGATTTTAGGAGCACCGTTGGTTCCTTACCTATTATTAATAGTGCTGCATTTGTGTTTTGAAAATCAGCATTCTGAATATCAGAACTTCTCATTTTATCTATCGCTATCAGGGTCAAATGTTGGGCACTCTTCTAGAATCACGGAACGAAAAATAAAATCACGGAACGAAAATTTTGGGTAATCCAAAAATTGCTAGGACCTTCATTCAAGTACTATCCTGAGATCTAACCTTGACATTACATTTTCTTTGCTCAGTATCCAAAATGACACCCGAAATGTAGTATATTGAGTCATTAAGGTACACTAGTTGATAGTGTACATGTACCTTTCCCAGATGTTCTGGGGATCATGGGACATACGAGAGTTAGATTAGAGGCTGCAACGAGCAGAGTTATTAAACTTGCCGTCGTTTTTTGGGTGTCCCACATAAAGGAAACACGATGATTCAGCCTAAGTCTATAATTGAAGAAATCTTTTCTAATTCAAAATTAGTCTTCTTGGAACAAAATGTTGGTCCGGAATAAGAATAGTCTTGGGCCAAATTGAGTAGAAATCTTGGCATGAAACTTCTTGTCTCGGATTTCTCATTTTTCAAAAATTGGATGATATTTTTGGATTGAGGAAGCTTTCTTCAATCACAGGCTTAGGCTGAAACGCCATCCTTCTTTTATCTGGAACACCCTAAAATGTCAGCAAGCTCAATAACGGCTTGATGTAGCTTTAAACTGAATTTTCAGATGTTCTACAGGTCCTATGTAACCTGTTAACTAGCGTATTTTAAGAAATTGATAAACCCTTGTTTAGTATACTTTTGGGTATTGGACAAAGTAAAATTGATGCCAAAGTACCAAATGTTGGAGCATGTCGGCCTAAAATACAGTACTCCACAAAAGTATAATTCCACCCTCAGTTTGTACTGAAATACTTATTTAGGTCAATATTCGTGAAAAGGTGTCAGCATGAAAAATAAAGACCATAAAAATTTTGATCCATCAACGTGACCCGGAAACGAGAAACAAATCACGTTTTGGCCGATCCACAAAAGTATAATTCCACTCTGAAAAAGTGAGATTTTGGAGGTTTTGAGGCTCTGCGGCCACTTTTTGAAAGCCTGAATTTTAAGAATTTCAAGATTCTGACCCCCATACACAGAGACCATTATACACGGTTACTGATATCAGGATTCGGGATGTCCGATTTCCGGATTTCCGGAATCCGGAATCAGGATTTACGGATTTAGAATTCGGGATTCCGGATTTTCGAATTCTGGACGTATATCGGAAAAAAAAACTGAGGAAAATTGAAGCTCTATTTTTGTTTTGTAGATTTGTGAATTTTGAGTCACATCCGCGAATTCCCCCCCATATTATTCAGCTATTCAAATTAGACCATTTTCAACAAAAAACTGGTAAAATTAATAAATTTTGGATACGTAATGTGTATGTGAAATCATTACGTTCAGCTAGCTAACAAAAAACAGTATTCTTATTTTGTCTTTGCCTGTCTTTTCCGGCATTTCCAGTACTAGAAGCATCCAATATCTATAGATCATGTCTCCTCATAAGATATGTAACATCTACACATTTCAAACAATATTTCTTAAAACCAGAAAAGCGTTTTTGGGAAAATCAGAGTAGCTGAAACTTGTAGAAACGGAAGTAGAATTTTCGAAAATTCAAAAAATGACTCGCATTTTCGTGACTTGTTATGTATTTCGTATCATCTTCAAACTCATTATTTTTCATGTTTCTACAAACAAACATACCATGGTAACATGGTATGTCTGGTTGTATTAAATTCTATTATCTTACGCATTTTTTCTGAGTGTGTTGAATGACTACAAGAGTTGGAAGAACCAAAATTTAGTTTCTTGAAACATTTTGATTATCGAATGGAGTTTCTATATTTCTAGCTCTGAATATACTTCGTAAACTAGCTTTTCAGCTCTTGGAGGTCGGCTATTTATCATAAAAGGGAAAAAACTAAGTTATTTGTTTCTGAATTTTCTATAAAAATAATCAAATTATCATTCTTATAATTTTGAAACATGCCACAGTCTGATAATATTGAGATGAATTCATTCGCGGTGGCAATTTCTATATTGGGGTTCATATCAGCTCTTTTCACATGTATCATGAACATTATTCTTCTGAAAACCTTTATGAAGTATGTCATCTAGAATCTAGTTGCATCTGAAACGATTAAGTTCGCTTTCTAGAAACCTTCAACTCTTGTTGATTCCAGAAAGAAAAACGACATGACGCTATTCTGCTACCGATTCACCGTGGATGTGATTTTGGGAGCATCGCTGGCTCCTTACCTTCTATTCGTAGTACAGTATTCGTTTTTCCCAAGCCAACTTTCTGAATATCACAACTTCTCATTCTATCTATCACTACCAGGATCCAATGTTGGAGCTTGTCGGTCTATAATAGTATTATCAGTGGCAATTGAGAGAATGGTGGTAAACAAGTTTTATAAATTATCAATAGAGTGCATTTGCTTTCTTTCAGGCTGCCTATACACCAATCTTCTTTCATAACTATCGTCAGCATTTTCCCGCCATCATCATTTTGATTCTGGCAATAAATTTTGGCTTGTTTGAAAATTTGGTTCTATTCGGGTTCTGCGACTTCCATCTGAATATTCCGAAAAATTGTGCAGCCTTTGGTTGTGCAATAAACTCTTGTTTTGCGAACTATTGGCTCACTCATAAATCGGTTGGATCTTCCGATAGTTTCCCGTACCGATTCTAGGTGTTTTTCAGACTATTTTCGCAATGATCTGTATATTTTCCCTGTTATTGTGTATTAAGTTGTTCATCATTAACAATATCATGAAAACTGGAGGAGTCGAACTTTCAAGAGTAAGCTTAACTAATTTTTTCTTCTATTTGTTCCTGAAGGTTCCAAAATTTTCAGGCCAATCGTCTTGCACTTATTGAGTCATCCATTGTATTTATGTTTGATTTTTTGCCAAATTTTATTTTCAAGCATTTTGCAACTACGGAATTTTTCAGTTTCCAGGTACTAACGCTTCTTGTTTCAAAAATTCAAATTGTTTTGAGAACATTGGTCCGTGTGGAGCAGTTACAAAACTATTCGGATGTGCCATTGAAGCATTCCTGGTTCATCGAACAATGCGAAAAGGAAACGGATCGACGAGTAGTGTTGTAGTAAAACAATGGGTCGGAAGTCTATAAGGAAAATTACCGAAATTCGAGTTAACTGATAAATGTGATTTGCTGGAAGAAGAATAAACGTTATTTTATTTTATCAACTTGTTTGCATTTTTCGAGCCTGGATGCAACGGTCCATGGCCGATACAGTAAGTGTGGATGCTCTTTTTCTTCTTGACAGTTTTCAGAACAGAGCGTTTTGCAATTTTTGTGAAGCTTGAAAAATAAGTATTTAATAAAAATAATAAGTAATAACCTTTTCAGAAAACATTAAGAGCGGAGCCGCGATCCAGTAAAATACTAGATTTTATCCCGCCGAAAGCGCACCAGAAAAATGGTTGAAGCGCCAAAGGCGCGACAAACAGATGTCTGGTTATATTTAATTCTATTATCTTACGCATTTTTTCTGATTGTAAGTTTATTTTATAGAATAGCAGAATTATAAAAACTTTAATTAGATTAGCTACTATTTACCACAAAGACTAGAAAATTTATCGCAGACACAACAATGCTGGTCATTCGAAAAATCACTTCCGTTATACATATTTTTTTGAGCCACTGAAAATTGAGTTAACATATTTTTCCGGGATTTTCCGGAACACGGAACACAATTTCGTTAGATAACATAATATGAAAAAAATTCTATAAAAATGAGTCTGTGGAAAAATATATACCGTAAAACCTCTAATAGAACGACACCCGGATCGTCCACTTTGAGCCTATAATCTCATTTTCTGTGAAAGAATCAAAAAGTGGTTAACTAATAAAATGTTGCTGAT